ACGATTTTTTATGGGGTTACCGAATGCAAGCCTTTGAAAGTCGGTACATTTTAGGAAATTCCCTATCTTATAACACTAGCTCAAAATCCTGTAGCACCAGTTTTTTTTTGGGACCCAGTTCATGAGCCTCGTTTTCGAATACCGCGCTCCAAAATCGAGTGCCGTCACCGTCGTTGTGGTCGCCCATCCCTCTATTTTAAATTAAAAATTAATTATTTCATCCCCGCACCCCCCCTTTAAGTTACAAACTGACCATCCCGATTTTCAAACTATTATTACTTGCATCATTTATTTTAAAAACAGGTTTTCAAATGAGCTGCTGATGTGTGCTGAGCAGATCCCGTTGTTAAGCACACAGCTGAACATTATCTCAAGTGTAAAACAGGCGACACCCGACGATGTATCTGCTAATGCCACGCTAAGCAACAACGCTGAGAATCTAATGCAGGCAGTAATGAGCACGCTGAAAGCAGCTGAAGGAGCATGTGTTAAGGTTTGTCAAACATCCCGTATATAAAGTTTTGTCCACATTATTTTTTGCGACAGACTTGTGTGATGTGCCCATATTTGATCATGATGATGTCATATTTTACCCAAATATGGGCGTATCACTGTTATTTGTCTTTGCTATTCGTATTGCTGTGTGTCATTATTGTTATTATGATTATTATATTTTATTATTCTTTTTATAATAATGATTAAAAAAAATAGTAGTTATTACTATTGCAATTTCTTTTTGTAAATTTGTCCTTGCAAGACTGTCACAACCAGAAACTGAACAACCATATGATCACGTCTTAAGATTCTGATCAAAGATATTTAAACAAGCCTTCATTGCCACTTCACTGTGGAATCTCATCGCCCACCCCCTTTAGTAAAATGTTAGGTACAATAATGCATTTAGATCTATTCAAATTTTATTGAAAAACATTTTTATTACTCTTGTGAATAACTATATCATTCTTTTTTTTTTTTAAATACAGGCATTAAAATGCATTTAATTACTATCACTATTGTGTTACGTTTATTGTTTCATTAAGAATTATTATTGATATATTATACATTAGTTGATTAATGGCTAAATTATTGTAATTGATTTTACACATTTAGTATTTATCTTTCTGGAGTATAGGAATTTTTCTTTATATCAATAATGCTTGTTTTTCAAAAATGTGTAATTTTCCTAGCTCGGTATTCATTATATCTTGTTTATAGTTAGTTATTGCATTTTTTAGTTGGGGACTTTGCATGTACTGGGTGTGTTATCATTCATTACCTATGACTAACACAACAGGATGGGCTAAATTTATTTAACCGCTTTATTTATCTATCATCTAATAGCCTTATTTACATCAATACATTTAAAATTTTACCCAAATACCAGTGTTTTTTTTTTTTAAAGTAAAATGTCAATAGCTTTAAATAGATATGATCCAAAGACCTTGGTGTTAGAGCGTGCTACTGTATGACTTTAGGGAATTTTTAAGAACTAAAGTTGATCAAGGGAAGTGGTAATGAAAAGTGTGCAATCTGTGCTAATACTTATTAATGTCAATGAGAATTATTGTTGAACTTTGGAGTCGGGTTACAAAGATTATCATGTCATATTTTTTCTACTCGCAACAAACAGTGACTAACCTGTCAATACAGCGTTGAAATAAATCATGTGATGTTTACTGTGGAGTGTTTATATGTAACTATCAAACTATGGACAAGTGGTGTATCCAGGTTTAGTGACATAGGGGCCAATAGGGGAAGGGAAAATGGAATTGTGCTGGTTGCTAGCTAGAGAAATATGGTAAAATTAAGTTTTAAATATTGGAGTGGAATTTTTTTTGTTCATCAAGTAGGGTCAGTCATCTTGGCGGAAGAGAGGGATGGTGAAGACTTTTTTTTTGAGTGTTCACCCACACCCTCTTCCTGCCTTAGATGTGACACTCGTGATGACCCTGAAGATGGGTATTTTAACCTTAAGCTCACAACTCATGATATCATACTCCCTATTTGTTATGCTATTTATTTCAGTTTATTTTAATGATGTTTATTGATTTTTTAGCTCCGAACAGGAGCTGTAGAAACACTTGGCTGATTGATTAATAGATCTTTTTTAGATCTAATGCCTCTATACTGCCCTCATGAGGCTGATTGATTAGTAGTTGCTTGATTAATAGATCTTTGTTTAGCTCTACTGACTCTATTTATACTGCTCTCATGAGGAGCTCTAGAAACACTGATTGATTAATAGTTGATTGATTAATTGACCTTTCTTGATCTAGTGCCTCTATTATATTGTCCTCAGATCTTTTTTAGATCTACTGCATCTGTTATACTGCCCTCATCAGAGCTTTTGAGATTACGAGAACTTGTTTTATTGTTATTTAACCTAATTTGTTCTCCAATGAAACAATTTTGCATGTTTGGCACATTTGACTTGCCTTTTTCCATAAGCTTGTGGAACAGTTGTAAGATTTTGGGCTTCCATTTGAGGGATTGCAGGTTCAAGTCTAAAGCCGTCTAAATGTGGCAAAGACAAGCCAAACCCGTTACTCGTTGTAAATCATGTTTTCTAGATAATGGCCAAAACACGCTGGAATGTCAACATTTGTTTAATCTATTTTATTTCATTAAATTAACCTTTATATACATCATGCTATGTTTTTATTTTCCCCATTTTTAATGTTAAAACAACATTTTTAACGATTTGGTGATGATTTCTGCCTGGCAAATGCCCGAAATCATAACTTTAAATGCTAATTTCTCAAATACTGTTCTTTGAGCACCTGCATGTTTAAACTCCTGTAACTTCATAACGAGATGTTTAATTGACGTAATTCTTTTACCATTTTAGAACTTACGTCTTTAGCCCTGTATTAAAAAATGTAAATATGATTTTTTTTTTTTTGCTTGTCTTTGCCACAAATATTTGTCATTGCGCAACTCATAGTCTCTTGCTGTTCCTAAGTACATACACAATCCTGTGGAGTTGTTAGACTTAAGTATAATCTGGTCCTTTTATTTTGTTTAAGTAGATTAGGTGACCTGTTGTTACCATCATTAATGATAAGCACATATATATATATAATATACACATAATTTTAATGTATTTTTATTTTATGTTCGCAAGCCACGAAATACTTGCACCTAGGCCTTAAACATAACGCAGACTACTTCACAGCCTGCCGGGATATCTAAACATGCCCGGCCGAAAATGGTCAGCGTGTGGATTGAACGCTCCACCACGAGGTTCACAACCTGATTGGAAAATGCTGTGCCAAACTGCCTTCCCGTCTTATATCATTACCTTGTCTCTGTTGTATTTATGACATGAATTTTTAAGCTACACAAAGCAATTCCTCTCCCCAAAACGTAATATAATATTAAAACGTGCACTAGTTATTTGGCAGTGCATCAGTTGATCTGCAAAGTCACCATGACTAAGCAAAAATTGAGTTAATGTGTCTGGTTATTCTTTATGATTCAACTGTTTGTTCTTGAAAAATATTCAATCTTAACTATTGGAGACGAAAATGGCTGTTTCGTCAACATAAAAACAAATATTTATTTTTTTTTTTATATTTCTCTAATACAGTTTCTGTATATACTGTCAAAAGATAATCAGCTTTTATTAGAAAAAAAAATCCTGAATTGTACCCAAGTCTTTGAGGCCATGATTTTTCTACAACATATAAATGCCACCCTGAAAATCAGTCAAAAAATTACAGTTTGCTCATTTAAAAACACAAAGGTATCAACTGCTAATACATTATAAAAAGGCCCTCAGTTTGCAGTGATGTACTTTAAAATTTGCTGCCTGAAGTGTAGGGGTACTATAAATGCAAAGACTATAAATTCTATTGTTTAAATGTCTTGTTCTAATTGTTTTATTGAAAGCTAATAAACATGTTCTCAGTATACCCATGTCTGTTTAACAGTGTTGGGGAGCGGAGTTGTTTTTGGCTCTAAAAAAAATATCACGATTTTTGACGGGGTTGACCCTATGACCTACAGAATTGAAGGTCACTTTAGGCATCATGTTAGAATTCCGCATTTTATATCAACTTATCTTGAAGGATGTTTAAACCTTATAAGATTTTTAAAGTTATATTAGATGTAGTATTGTTGCCTTTTCTGCATCGTCAGACTTATGGGGGGTAACGTGTGTCTGTGGGAGGGGGAGGGGTGTGAATATTACTAATTTAACTGTCTTACCTGATTGGTACATTAGGGAGCTTTCGATTTGTGCGACGACGCAACGCTATAACGGAATCACTCATGCGTGACCATCCTACCTGGCGTCCTACGTTCTCTACATACATAGATTTGGCCAAATTGCGCTCCAGAATTTACTCGATGAGGTGACCTTAACATTCTCACATTCGTAGATGACTTTTAGTGATGTCATTACGTTCTACGTCCTACCGTCGTCGTGCAATTGAAACCTCCCTACTATACTCATATGAAGGAACATTGTTACATCATTGAAATGTTTCAGGTAGCACTAGACACAAGTAAAAGAACTAAATAATTTAAGATACAACTGTTTCTTGCATTCTTTGGCACTAACTGCATTACTTAAAATTTATGTTCCATTTTAGATAGACATTATTTTGAATATTACATGTATTGTAATTGTTATGTTAGTAGCAACCAGTTCAGTATTAAACATTTTATTGCAAGCAATATAATTGCGAATAGACTGTTTCTTAACCATTCATTCCCGCAGGGATTAAAACCCGAACTTGAAGGATCGAAAGAGGAGGCAGAAGCTAAAGCATTAGCAATGCAATGGAAGAGAAAACTACATCGATATCGGATGATAGAAGCGTCAAGCACGGATACTGACGCATTTGGTTTACGACGTATCAGGAAGCACATCTCAGCTCCAACGCTTACAGAAATCCTAAAATGATGAGAGTGCCAGTCACATACGCTGATGGTTTTTGTGACAAATCTCAATTTTGAAGATTTTATCCTATAAATGATGTTTGACACAAGCACCGATGTCGATCAATTCGTTTGCAACGCATCACGAATCTCGGCTTCAGCAACAAAATCTCATCATAGAAGGATAGATGCATCAAGACTGACACATCTCAGGAAACGCATCTTATCTCTGACATTTCCACCCAGATTTAGACATTTAATTCTTTATGTTTGCTTTAAAATTTACTGAACTAGATAAAATCATTGATAGCACACCTGCTATTAACTGCTTGTCTGTAGCCATCTATTGCACCCAAACGATGCTGTTTTGTTCTTTCTATGAACTTTTATATGAAAATTGTATATGTTCTTTGTCCATTTATGGGCATGATGCTGTCATATCACACCATTATATGGGCAAATGACTTACACAAAGCTTTGGTTCAGAGGGTTTTTTGTGTAACTAATCAAAAAATGCATGTTTATAGGGCATTATATAGTAAGCTTATATAGTTTGTATTTATTGGGACTTTTAAATTTACATTTGTCTATATTTGTCTTCTCTGAATTCCAGCTTAAGCATTCCAGTTTATTAGTGTGCAATAGTTTCCTTAGTGTCCGTCCTTATCTTTAACATATTTTTAAAATACATTAAAAAAATATATATATTATGTATGATAGTTTTTTAGTATGGAAAATTACAATGAAACCGTCCCTTTACCTATGATAACTTATGTCTTTTAACTTTTGAGAAATAATAATAATGTTACACAGTATCATACAGATGCTTCTGCAACTTGTTCTTATTATTATTATTGTCTAAATAGTCAAATACTGAGAAATTAAATTCAGGTAACAAGTATATATG